CTTCGTCATCGATCGGCTGTAGTGCGTGTGTGCGTGACGTTATGCCTGCGCCATTGTGCTTTGGCTTGCGGGCCTCGAAAGCGAGGTCGGAGGCCGGCAGCAGCTGATCCCGGATGCAATGCGCCCCATTACTCGTGATAAACAGACATCTCGTCCTCTTTAACATTTTCACGGAAGAACATTTCCTGCAGAATTTCATGAGATATCTCTAGCGGGAGCTACGTAAAGAACAAACGCCAGAATTATAATTGGAACAGTGAACTTATGTACACACTAGATACCAAGATGGCAGCTTGTGGATGTGTTTTATTTCTGTGATCGTGTGAAATAAAGCGAGTCGCTCGAGCCAAATTTTGCGATCACGCTTTCCATACCGCTGCTCTCTATTCATGTTGTTTGTGCACATGGCGGGCCGTTGCGTGTACTTGTGTGCTGAGCAATGAGCATTTGACCTGCATTTACAGTGATTATAGGCGAAATGAGTAGAGAAACATTGAGACTTTGGTACATTTCGTGTCTTATTTTACCATTAATTTTTTTATTGAGACGTCAAGTGCCTGTGCTAGAGGCTAACTCGGGTCCGGACTCAGTCTCAAGTTCAACTCTCGGGGCTAACGCTCCAGTGTTTCCCAACTTTGATATCATACATGGATTGCATAAAATTAATGATTTGATAATCCTAACCCTAACCTAAATGAACCATTAAACCAAAACTAATAATATAATAGACCATATATATATATATATATATATAGTTATGTTATTATGACCATTAATGACATTAAAGTTGGGAACACTCCTAATGCCGTAATGGAGTATCACCCCAACTTTCATACGCAGCCGGCAACAACAGTCAACACTCAATCACAGACAAAGGCACTTGGGACAGAGTCAGTAAAAACTGAAAATAATATGAATGCACATTCACAAGTACTACCTATCAATTACACTTCCATTTCCAATGTTGTGTCACTGTATATCAACTTGCTTTCACAAAAACTAATGCAGAACTAGCCCGGTGGTAGCTCTAGTATTCTATAGCCTGCGTACAGTTGCCGCTGGCACTGTTATACTGTATACTTATAGTTACGTTGTATACCGTTTACGAGTCCCACTTTCCCCGCGGGCGGTCATCTCCAGTTGTCTCCAGTGTCCAATCGCGCTCCGCGGTGCCCGACGCGGGGCCATTCGGACTCGTCAACGGTATACATTCCTGCAGAATTGGCACGAACCGCGGGACTTCTGAGTTTGAAGTCACATTACAAAGCAAGGTGGCACTTCTCATCCATGGTAGTTACATACGTAACATATACATATATACATATACGGTAGTATATACATTTCATGTTTATTTACCATCAGGGTGCGAAATTAACGCGAGTCCGGAGTCCAATACTCTCTGATTTACTGTCGGACTCCCTGATTTGACATAATGCAGGAGTCCGTGTGACTTCCTAAAATTCTGCTATACTAAATAGTTCGTTCCAGAGCACGCCCTCGCGGAATTACCATATTTTTTCAGCGAATATCCAAAGAAAATTTGGCAGATGTGCAACCGCATGAATCTTTAAAATAAGCACATGCGTTATTGTTAATATCTTTAATTTTGAACTTCAGACTGCGGACTCCCGCATTTTGCCACGAACTCCCTCTTTTTGAGGGCAGGGAGTCCAACGGCCCCCCAAACTTGCCTTGTTCAAAAGTTAATTTCTACTCCTGTACCATACATTTTATTTTATTTACTGAAACGTTCCAAATGCCTGTGGTAAATTGCTTCTGTGCAACACAATCTCGCAGCATGCATGCATTTGTGCAGTAACTAACTGAAAGATTAAAGAGGTCTATCTTAGCTCCACCCAGGTAGCTCCAGCGCGCAAGCTACCTATAGCAGGAGCGAAGGGACTAGGCAGTACACACACACACACACACACACACACACACACACACACACACACACACACACACACACACACACACACACACAAATACACCCACGCGCGCACACACACATACAAGCGCGCACGCAATACACACGCACTCGCACGCACGCACACACACACACACACACGCACGCGCGTACGCAAAACACACACACACGTGCACACAAAACACGTGTACTACTTTAATGCATTAACTTCGTTCGATTTCACAGGGCGACTCTGCATGGTGGGTCCCTTGGTCTGTAACGTGCAAAATAAATCGGAAAAGGCGAAACTTAGCCTCAGGGTGACAGCATAATCGCGGGGTGTCAAGTCAGTGGCAAAAAATTAAGATTTCGAAACTAACTGCTGTTTTATGAAAATTGTGAATGCATGATTATAAAATTTGTAGGTATACTATCTACTATTATTTATGCAATTATTATCATAATAATAGGAGTGTATAATATATGACATTTATATATATATAATATCAGGAGTAGATAATAGAATTATCTACTCATGATAATATTATATATATAAGATTTGATCTATTTTCTATAACAGTACAAAAAATGACAATGATTTTGTATAATTGCTGTTTATTTTATCGTTTACGTGACGATATACGTGACAATTAGAATAACATATATTACACCGTAATACGAGATAGCTTTCTTACACTGCCCACCGTCCTGCATGCATATTATAGAAACATGGCGCCACAGCACGTGATAACAGATAACCAATTAGTCTCTCGGAACTCGTCTCTGGAGCTAACCCGCCCGATACAGAGCGATACCTACACGCTAACGCTGAGCACTAACGGAAACAAGCAAATCAAACGTCAACGCGCCAAAAATGATCGTCGTTACCGAGTGCCAAGTCCAATATTTGTTACAATCGTAATATAGGCTTATACAATCGTTATAAAAGGTCTTTGGTGAGTGTCGTAACCGTCTGAAGTTAGCAAATCGCATAAATTCGTGCAAGTGTTTATTGACTGGTTTGTGCACATTGAATGATTGATGCCGGTTCGTTGTGCCTTGTCAGGCTTTCTGTGTTTAGACTCGGTCCTAGCTCTAGTACTAGCAGGTACTAGTAGTAGTACTAGTACTACCAGGAGTAAGATAATATAGATCTATATTATCTTACTCCTGGTACTACTACTACTACTACTACTACTACTAGTACTATAGCCCGCGTTCATTAACTGCCGCAGGCTATAGTTAATGAACGCGGGCTATATATAGTACTAGAGGCCACAGGCACTTGGAACGTCTTAATAAAAAAAAATAATGGTAAATAAACACGAAATGTAGGCCTACCAAAGTCTTAAAGTTAATGTTTCTTAGCCCGACCAGGCTGTGCGACGGATTGTCTATACAGGATTACAGGTATTATTGTAACCCTAGCAATACCGTTTCTTGGAGCTAAATGTTTCTCTACTCTATTTCGCCTATAATCACCTGTAAATGC